AACGTTTGTCGAAGGATTGACTTCACTTGTCTCTTTGACGAGTTCGTAGCTTGGTACGGAGAATGGCAAAGTTCACTGATGATGCCGACTACAATGCCGGCGAAACGTTTAAGAATGTATCAAATCCACTGTCAGATGCTGGGAATCATGACAACTACTATGGCAGACGACTTCGGACCAGGTGCGTTCTTCATAGTCCCCCTGACAACAAGAACGAGTTGCGACAACGAGGTCAACCCACTTCTATAAATCGAAAGGAGACTGCGGCCATAACAGAGGCCACAACATCTTGGTCTTCATATATTCTACAGATATCATTGTGGGAAAATCCAACTGCCAGTCCTTCATCAGCTTAAACGAAACAGGGTGAATAGATCTCAGATAAACTGATTCACTGGTAGTCTCGAAACCCTACTTATGAACACAAAATGGCACCTTATGTTGATCTCAACAGAAGAATAGGAAAGACTTTTGACTTTGGGCTTGTGCTCGTTTCTCAGTTTGAGTTATGCCGAGTAACATGGCAACGGTGGGTGTAATCAGATAGGGACGGCAACATAGTAGATTAAATTGATTATCTTTACCAAATTTTTAGTTTCAACGACCAGCTGTGACAAAACAGAGGGAAACAATGAACAGAAATCTGATAGGATTTACGAAAAGTAGCTGGGCTTTTAGGAAGCATTTGGTTTACGATTATTTGTCTCACTTTAATTTCGTTTGTAAGTGTGTTATAAAGACATCCGAATGTCGATTCGACCAAAGACGACGTCCAATTCATCTTAGCCAGTTGTCAATTGACTCTACCGGAACATTCGTGCTGAAACTGTCCTAGAGGCAATCTACTCCATGTATATGAGGCGTATTCACATTATTTCGCTTAAGAGGAAAGGGTGACAAGTAATTGAAGTTTTCCACAATGATATTAGCAGACCTTACGTTTCTATGGAAGTTCACATAGCTTTACTTCCTAAAAGGTATTCCTATCCATGGTGGATTTCATTTACGACTTCGCTTAGGCCTTATCAACGTGATTAGCGTGTCAAGATTATAAGCTGCATTGCAATAGTTCAAGTCCCGCTGGGGATGTTGATAAGGCCTAGGCGACATCTCAACTACATTCCATCCTGGATGAGAACACCTTTTGGGAAAGCAAGGCTATGTGAAATTCAAAGGAAACGTAAGGTTTATTCATAGCATTTTGGGAAAATTCAACTATCAGCCCCCTTATCGGCTTAAAGAAAATAATGTGAATTTACCTCATACAAATGGTTACTTGATAGTCTCGACAACCTACTTATAAATGAAGAAT